AAATTACCTACTAGGCACTCGATAAAGTGAAAATAAGATCTTTGCTGAAACAACAGCAACGTTTCTGTACGCTTAAATTAACATATTGTTCTTTATTTAATTTTCGATATCTAAAGAATCAAGTTAATACAATCAATCAATCAACAAATTAGTTGATAGAATCAATCATCAACCAATTAAAAAACATACAAAAAATCAAACGGTTTAAAATATTAATACAATCAGGGAAATTATTATATAGATAATCACCTATGGAATTTCGGCACTTTGAGTATCTATCTGAACTAAGGGGACCGAGACGACTTCAACGATACCCTACTTTTGGACCGGCGACGAAAAATAATAAAGTTATCATACTTTTTCTGGTGATCGCATGATATAATTGTGCAGTTAATGTTACCTATGGTGAGTAAAATGGCGGCTCGTCAGCAAACAGAAGAAAGGAATCAGTGGGGACGCACGTTCTAACCTAACCTAACCTAGTCTAATAAATTAACATAATTATTACCAACCAAATTATTATAATAGGTTAGGTTAGGTTAGGTTTGAACGTGCGTCCCCACTGTTTCCTTTCTTCTCTTTGCTGGAATCAGAGACGAGCCGCCATTTTACTCACCATAGGTAACATTATCCAATTGTGCTTACTTACTAGTGCAGTCTAAAGATTGGTGACACTTTGAATTTCATAGCAATTGGTTTTTGCGACAAGCACACCTATTTGTGGTACATTTATTTGTGGCAAAGATCTTATTTTCACTTTACCGAGTGCCTAGTAGGTAATGTGCGGATTACCTAGATACTCTGCACATTATCTAGGTAATTTGAGAAATAGAACAATTTTCACAACTTTAACGGATCACCCTAGTTAATCTGCAGATTAGCTAGGTAGTGTACATATTAACGATTTTCGAGCTTTAGCGGTAACATATATATATATATAATAAAATCATGAACGCCCAGAAAAACATCTAGGCCCTGAAGAAGGCCCTATAAAATGACGATAAATAAAAACAGAGATTTTTGTTTACTTTATTTTTAAATAATTATTTAATTTGTTACAATACATATAGGTTAAATCAAGAGTCGAATGATCAACAGCATTTCATAAAAATTCTGAAAGCGACTGATAGAGTACGTTATATGTTTGACTGAATAACAATTCATTCATTATGAAATACATTAATCATTTAATTCAAGCATGTATTTCATCGCTTTCGGATTCATCTGAGCAAGAAGTAATACGTAACTTAACAAAAGGCTAAGAAATGTAAGAATAAGTCCTCTAGATATTACAAAACATTTACCAGCAGTCAAATAAACAGGATGACCACTAATTTTAATAATTAACAACTGAATATCTGGATAAATGGCGCGAAACGATGCCAACTTTGTATGTGATAATTTGACAATGACAGGAACTGACTTAATATAAGACTCATAAACAGAAAAACCCGTTACACATATAATAATCATAGTCATAATAGCGTATACTAAGTCAAATATTATAATCAACGATCCTCCAACAGCTAGAATTGTTTCGCTTTCTCTTGCTAGAAATCCATTCATTTCGATACAGAGAGCTACCAGAATGTGTGAAAACCAAATAAATACTACGGAAGAAAATATATTATCCACTTCTGCAACTAAGTCACAGAGATCGTCATGACTTTTAAATAACTGACGAAAACGATGTAAACTGAAAAAAACATTATTTGTAGAAATATTTTTCAGCTCCATACAGAAACTGTCAAAATGATCACGAAGTATAACCACTATTTCACTATACAACAAAATGAAAAATGTAACTGTGCCCCAACCATACAAGACATAAACGTACCATTCCATAAAAATAAAGAAAACTTTTACCTGCCTATCGAAATCGATATCCTTAAAAATAGGAAAATAGTCATCGAAAATATAATCAATATCCCAAGAACTTATGGAAATACTAACAATGATCAAATAGGTGACGAAGAATAAAAAAATGACTGTTACCAGTTTATTTAACTTGTTTGTAGAATTCTTCCTCTTCTCGAATGAAAAATCAAATGTTTCCAGGCTTCGAATTATTTTCCTTAGAAATTTACGGCGTAAAAACATATAATCTGCTGTAAAAATAGCCGTAATAAGATCTGCCATGTTTGTTGCTTCGTACCAATTTTGTCCATTTTTCATTTCGTAAACAAAATACAATATTTGTATTACACTATAAAAATGTAACAAAAACATATAAATTGATGTGGTGATATATTGAATTATTTTATCCTTCCTACAATTTGGTTCTTCGATTGCCCATATAGTACCATAAATTTTTGACCAGATGACCACCACAGAAGATAGCATGATTAACTTTTATAGGCATGATGTAGAAACCTTTTGTAAGATAAATACATTGATTTCAAAATCTATATTCCACTATCGATTATACGATAGTTGATAAGAAAATTCAATTTGACTGTCAGATAGTATCCAACTATTAAGATTTTTAACATAACTCATATTACACAGTATAGAGAACTTTGCCATTATCAAATTGCCTAAATCAAACATATAATAATAGCGTGTTTCAATGTTAATACAAATATCGCCTTTAAAAATAGTATCGAAAAATATTCTGTAGATGATTCTATATATTTTTATGATATAGGCGAAATTAGTCGTTAAGGCGTCAGCCTACTGCTCTGGGGGACTCGGGATCGAATCCAAGCGAGCAACTCCCCCAAAAAATTTCCAAGATCGGTCTATGTCAAACCTAGTCCCTCATCACTCGTGCGAACCATTGTAGGCCTGGAAGAACCCACGGCGGGAATGATTTAAAAGACCATCTTAGTGTTCACAGAGCAAAAAGAGAGAATAAATAAATAAATAAATAAAGGCGAAACTAATCTTTCAAGATATATTTATTTTGATTATAGAAAAAACTATTTTTTCTTTTTTTGTAACTGCACTATCGAAACAACACGGAACCATTAATTATGCAGTAAAATATTCACTAATCGAACATTTTCGGTCCTATTCGTTGATCTTCACCAGGAAATATATACATATAATTTAAGAAGAAAGAACAAAGAACGGTTTTTTGATTTTTGATGTTAATTTTAAAAGCCCTATTATTGCATCAGTTTTTATATACAGTAGTTAGTTTACTTTAAACTGAAAAGATATAAATAATTCCATAGTTGAAAAAGAAAACAAAAATGGAATAATGAAATTTCTTTATAGAGAATTAAAATGAAATCATTTCCATTATTCAACATATACAGTATTTACTACAACGTCGTTAAATTATTAAAATGTATTACTCTCTACTTTTTCGACACTCGCAGGATTTTATCTCGAGGCAAAACATGCAAGATGGTTTAGATCAACATGACATGTTCTTTATTAAGCGCTTGTTTCAATTTTAATATCTTCACGAGAATGAATAAATAGCTGTCCACTTCTTATATACTGTATTAATTGTTTCAGTGAATTACACACCATTAAATTACAGAATAGTTTTAGTGTTTGTGTCACATTGAAATTAGCAACGATCAATAAATCCATGATCAAAAGAAAAAAAACTAATGCTCCGACAGTAAAATTATTACACACATTGAATTTATGGTCTACGGCAGTGCTACTCAAATTGTGGTTGCACATAATTTATTACTGGGCCTCGGCGAGATTTAACTTAAAATTTCATAATTTTATATGTTACGTTAATATTCTTTAGTTAAAATATATTATTTTATAGCTTTCGTTTTTATTATTTAAACACCGAATGGAATGGCGATCGAAATCGATCTAGAAAATGACTTAAAAACGGCCTACAAACCCACTTACTTTCCTTGCTGTTATAACATTATACGGGAAAGTATTGTTACCTCTGAATAAAAAAAAAAAAAAAATCAGACTGGATATCTGGAATGTGTGTGTGTGTTGACGTCTATTTCGTTTAATAGTTCAGAATGGATTAAAAATAAAGAAACTAAATCTGGCATGATAACTTGTATATGAGCATTGAATGCTATTAAATTTTGGTGGCCGAAAGTCGACGGGATAAGACGATAATGGGGGTCATATGTCGTCTTGCGAAAATTTTAATTGTTATTGGCATTTACAATATTTTTAAGAACTCATCCCTACCCTCAAAATTAATTGTCTTTTTATTATAATTAATAACATAAAAGTTTTTCTTTTTACTTTTCCGGCTGTTATGCATACAAAACAAAGTATTGGAATTGTGTCAAATTTGATCCTCCGAGTTTTTTGTAAATATCCGCGAGACACCCTGAACCAAAAAGGGGAAATTCCGTGGATATGTATGTGATTGTTGGTGTCTATCTCGTTTAATAGCTTAGGATAGGACGGGGTAATGATGAAGAAATGAAATTTGGTATGGTAGTTATAGTTTGCGTATGAGGGACATTAGTGCTGTTAAATTTTGGCGTGTAAAGGTCAAGAAGTGGAGAAATACAAAGCGGTCATGTATCATATCTCGAATGGAGTCGGACTTAATGAAGATTTTATTGTTCTTTATATGAAACCGTGTCAATCTTCTTATTTGATTATTTCTCACAATGAAGTGTAATATAAATGACACATTAAGGTTCCTCTTTTGTCACATAAAGGACACATTTGCCCCTCTTTTCACATTAAGGTCTTAAACACCTTAATGTGAAAAGCCGACAGAAGACCCGAAACGCGTCTCGGCAAATAGAAAGGGAATTAAATAGATGTAAAGAAAGCTATGTGTCATTTATATTACACTTCATTGTGAGAAATAATCAAATCAAAGATTTTATTCGTTTTAGCATTTACAATTTTTTAAAATAAAATTCAGCTCGACCCTCAAAATTAAGCATTTTGCATTTGAGAATAATTGAAAATAAAATGTTTTTGAAATAGAATCTCGTAACAGATGGTGCCAAATCACAATTTTATTCATTATAATATTATGAAAGTTATAGTATTTTTAATAAAATCTCATAATAGCCGGGAAAGATACGCAACTTCTTGCTAAATTTTTTCAAAATAATTAAAACCAAATTTTGTTAGTATAGTTTTCTTACTAATTCAGTCTAAATATTAAAATTTAAAAAATGCGTTTGAATTCCGTTCCCATAATTATTTTATTTACAAAATATTGTGCACACGAGGCTGTTGCATCTCTGTATTCAAGGATCACTTTTTCTTCATTCTTCCGTGAATACGGAGATTGAGAAGCACTAATCTTAAGTTGTTTGGATTTTCTTTATTTACTGCCCTTGCAGTCAGAAATAAACGAATGCTTTTAAAAAAGCTTTTTAACTTTTAACATAATTCAATTTATGTGATTTGTTCGGAAAAAATTGATTTGAACAGCAGTTTTAGAACTACGATTGTTATATTTTTAAAAGTTTACCGAAGGTTTAAAATTTTTACACAAATTAATTAAAAACCGATTTTAGTTCGATTCTATCAAAAATTCATTTATTTATTACGTCTGATAGTCGAAGAAATCTACTAGCAATCAAATAAAACAAAAAAGAAAAAGTGTTTAAAAAAGAAACTTCAAATGACAATTACAGTGTAATATCTAGGTCACACACGCTGTCTAGAACCTCGCGTTTCTTTATACAGCGAGTGTATAGCGAAATGACATCACTAGCAGTGTTGGCCAATTAGAAACCAGTTTCAGTGTGTTCGCTTAAAGCGCTGCATAAAGAAACGCGGGGAAGCCACCACACTCCACTCCACCCTTATATGATAATATTTATTTTCAGTCATAATGTGGTTCCCGCGCTTTATAGAAAGTTTATGATTAGTTTATTCGATAGATAAGCTAATTATTTTATTTAAATTAAAAATTCGGAGAAATTATAAAAAATACTGTATCAAAACCCCATTCCAGTTAACCAGTTAGACGAATTTGAGTTAACCAGTTTGATTTAACATGTAAAACCTTATGCCAAATAATCGGGGAACGAAAATGACTTCGAATTATCCTAGTTCCAGTTAACTAGATTCCACAGTACTAAAAACATTAAACTTAATACAATAAATAATAATAATAAATTAAAATTTTAATATAATTTTGTATTCAAAGCATAGGTTATTCTTCTTCACATGAAATACCTTTTCCATATTGAATGTTATTATTATTAATTTAAAAATGTTTAAAAATTTTTAACATCAATTACAATTCAACATCAATTTAAAATGAATTATTTTAGTTATCATTAGTTATTACTCATTTTAAAAAAATTCATTTAATTCAATTTTTAGATAATTGTAATTGAGATAATAATGATTGATATGTTAATACTAAGTTTATATTTTCATTAAAAAAGTTTACGATTTATAGTAAAAAATATTTTCTCAATGTTATAAAACTGTAAAGATATTATACATAAAAAATTTGACCAGATAGTGCAGAAGAATTACTGAATAAAAGATCAGCGATAATTTCACATACATGATTATTCTGTGAGATCCAATCCTGCAAAAAATAAAAGTGTAAATATTATTATTTATTCTCATTCAAAATTCACTTATTTTATTGCATTTATTTATATAATTAATTCCAAAAATATATAAGTAACTTACATCATTTTTTAAGCATACATAATATATAAAACTGTTATGAATTCTTCTCAATTTGACAAGTTCTTTAACTTTCTTAGAAATTTCATAATGTTCATCCATTCTAAATTCAGAATGTACAACATGCACCACAGTATTTTTAATTACAGTAGAATTTTCAAAATCTTCATTAACTACTTGCATTAAAGATTTATTTTTATGAACTTGTATAATACTTGATTTTGTAATAAAGTCATCTTCTACTTTATTTTTATCTAACTATAAACAATGTTTAAATAAAAAAATATTATAATTAAATAAAAATACATTATATTTTAATACATTATATTGTAAAATAAATTAGTTTAATTTATAATGCAGGTACAGGGTGTACCAAAAGTTCCCTTACTAAACTTTTGAAAATTACTTCTGGACAAGCTGAAGAAATGACAAAAGAGGGCATTACTGATTGAGATTTGTGACAATCTTGAGTGTTTTGGATAAATGTTTTGGAGGTAGAGTAACAGTATGCCATCAATTGGAAAGTGGAAGATGTGGCCATGCAGTGGTGTACTGTGGGTGTCAGCTGCCCGGGGCAGAGGAAAATTTCGGCCCCCCTTATTTAGGTATTTCAATTTAAAAGACCAAAATTCAGTTTTGTCACAGAACAAGCAATGAAAAATTCGGTGGTAGTGCAGCGACCTGTTTAAAATAGCCCTATTGGATATTAGTGGTGTATATAAACGCGAATGAATCATACAAGCAAAAAAAAAAGTCAACAGGTTTCGTAGGATTTCCTTGGATAAAAAATTATTAGTTCACCCGGACGGCGAGCTGATTCCAGGACTGTCCGGACGATAGCACTATCGTAGGCGTGATGCAAGTATAGATTAGGATGTTTCAAATTTTTACAAGATATTATTATTATTTATTGTGAAATTTTGCCGCCCCCTAAAAAGTGCCGCCCGGGGCGGGCCGCCCCTGCCGCATCCACTACGGTACGCCACTGTGGCCATGTCAAGTACGATGCTTAATCCAAAACAAATACTGTAATTACATTTTTAAAGGCTTAATTTTGACATGAAGTTTTATAAATGATATGTGAAGAGTTGGAAGAAAAAATTTCCCAATGATATATGTAAGGATGCTGATTGGGGGGGAGATTTTATTCCCTACCGTCGAGATAGCTCTAAGGTCTAAGTGTATGTGGGTGGCGGTTTTAAGAGGCAGCAAAAGACAAGTGTTTTACAGAGGCAAACCGTTTATTCTTGATCGAAAATGCTTACATAAATTTTTTTTCGTTGGAAAGGTCCTTAGATTCCGAACTTTAAGATGTCTTCAGATCCTATCTGGTCCTGTGTTATAGGAATTTCGGTTGTGATCAGGTCCTTCGTCGTAGGAGTTTTCGGCGGCGCTCTGGTCCAGCGTCGTAGGGGTTTTCGGCAGTGATCTGGTCCAGCGTCGTAGGGACCCCTGGACAGTGTTGAGTAAAATGTTCGAAGTCTTGAGAGACAGTACACGAAAGATGAACGGAGGTAAAAAAAAAAACGAAGATACACGAACACAACAGAAGTCTAGTGGAACCTAGTTGTCCTTGAAATTGGTGTTTTTATAAGTTTTTCGAGATCGGCTTTTTGTTAATTGGATAGACCTTACATCATTGTTTTCTAATTGGTCTTCCACCTGTCTCCAGGTGTAAATGGAGCTTCATATGGTTCGCGGGAAAGGTCGGCTGGAGATGGTTTATCCGACACCATCTTTTAGACTCTGATCGCGTTTAATTGTTGACTATGACACCTATGCTCATTTTGATATTTTTTTAGTTTCGTTTTGCTTTCTAAACTGCGTCTTAACTTTAATATTTTAAATTTTCTTCTTTTATATCTAAAATTTTGTTTTTCCTTCTACTCTTTATGAGCGTCGACGTCAAAGTCTGGTGTCACCGTTTCGACACTTACATAATTTGTTTTTTTGACGATTTATTTTTCGGGGGGGCTATTTCCGGGGCCTCACATATACTACCAAGTAAGCTTACTTTGTACAAACTTGTTCAAAGGTTTCTGAAACTGAGTTTGCTGCAGACAGGCTAAGAAGTGGAAGGTATCCCATGCCATTTTTGAGGATGTGCTGCAAAGGCTGACAATGTCCCCAAGAAAGTCTTTGAGATGACTCTCTCAGCAATCAGGAATATCACTATGGTTCATACACAGGGCTTTCAAGCAAATTAAATTTTACCTCTACTGTATGAGAGTGGTTGCATGAAGCGTTGTGAGATATGATAATGCTTCTGTAACTGGTTCCACAGATTTCAATGAAACAATGTCACCATCTTCAACAAGATTTTTTACACAGATGGGGTTCATGGTTTCATTTAAATGGATATGTGAGTTCACAGAACACACAAATCTGATCAGCAGAAACTTGCAAACCTATCACTGCATCTGCAAAAGGTTGGTGTTTAGTGTGCAGTGTCTCAGCACAAAAATTACTGGTTTCTGCAAGACAGGATAATATGCCATATGCTGTGAGAAAGCATGACTATGCTCTGAGATATTTTTGAATACTTTATAATTTCTACAGACTTGTGGCCACTCCAATCCTCAGATTTGACTTTGCCAGATTTCTTTTTATGGAGGAATTTAAAAGATAGAGCTTATGTAAATAATTCCTACAATCTGGATGGCCTGAAACACAACATTTCAGTAAGCATAGCAGTTATCATGCCAATAACATAAATAAAACTATTTGCTGTAGAGTGGATCTCTGCCTCTAGATGGAAAATGGGTACTACTAGCAACTGCTGTAAAATTTCTGAGTACTGTATATGGTCTATATATGTATTTTATTCATTTATATTTTGTGCACAAGTCATGTTTTAAACATATAAAAGTTGGAACCAAATACAACTAAACATCATATACCTTTAACAAAAATTGCCAGGACAAATTCATATTTAGAAGAAAAAATATGTTTCTTACTAGACTATACATATACATGATTCCATATCTTCTATCCCTTCACACGCTTATTGTAGAGGCATTAACAAGTCTACGGTGGAACCGTCCTTTTATTTGAGGCTACTGTCCGCCAACAAGTTAAAAACTCCTGTAGCAGTAGCACACACTTTTTAACTTTTTTACATTGTTTGGCGGACAGTAGCCTCAAATAAAAGGATGGTTCTGCCGTAGACTTGTTAATGCCTCTACAATAAGCGTGTGAAGAAATAGAAGATATGAAGGACTCATGTATATGTATAGTCTAATAAGAAATATATTTTTTCTTCTAAATATCATATACCTTTCTTACTTTTCCAGCATTCACTTTAATAAAATAGTAAATGTTTTCAATTTTTAGGGATTGGAACCATTTGAATAAGTAAAGAGCTTTTATGTTTCAAAAAGTATGTGGAAAGTGTTTTGAAAAGTAAGAAAGGTGTATGGTGTTTAGGTCATGTTTTATTAATAAAAAACTTTGAGAGATTGAGTAAGAGAACTTTTGGTATACACCCAGTAGTATTCACTACCAAATTAGAATATTAACTACTAATATTCTATATTATATTAGTACAGCAGAGCATCGATTATCCGACTCAATTGGGGACTCAGGTTGATCGGATAACTGAAAAAATCGGATAACCGAAAAGAATGAAAAAAATACATTATTAGTATAGTATATTAGGATATCCCATGTAATTAGTATATTAAGATATCGCTATTAACCAACTTCGCGTTGGATTTTCATCGATATTTAGCCTAACAAATTTTTTTTAAAATAATAATCGTCACTATTGTAACATTAAAAATTATTTTTAAATTATTTTATTGCTCACAAAACAAACAACCACTCATAATTAGAAAATTAAGTCTCGTTTAAATACTGGCCTCCCTTCAATGGTCGAGCCGGTGTTGACCTCCCCAATTAACTGATGTGACAGTTAATTGGGGAGGGGTCAGATAATCGAAGCTCTACTGTATATATATAAAATAGATGATAATATATTAATAATTAATATATGTAAAAATGCCATATTTTTCATTCAGTATTTATAACAATGTAAACTACATTGCTTATGAAATCAAACACATTATTTTTATTTTTTTCACATTTTCTGTCTGCCAGGCACTTATTAATAGAGCCTTTTCTCATGCTCATCAAGAATTTGGACAGATGGTGAGAGATCAGGCCTAACATGTCTGAGCCATCCTATCCATGAAAATTTATAAGCTGACATAAATTTCAGCTTATGTCAGCTTAAAACAAAATTTACATTTTGAATTTATTAATTCATATAGTTATATGCAATACTATGTAAATATTCTACTATATTTTCCCTATTGTAATTTAAAACTTTTCTCAATTCCTTTGGTCAGCTTTATCATAACATCTATGTTCATGCTGATGTTGAAAATCTGCTATTGCTCTTTCATCACACATAAATTCATCATATAAAAATCTATAAATTTATGACTTGTTATTTATATTTATATGTATTTTACCAATGTCTCAAAAAAGAAAACATCTGCCTGCTATGTATGCAAAAATTCTTAAGTTTCTGTCATTCAAATGATGGTCACCCAATTAATTATCACTCAGTTGACCATCACCAGCTATTGCACATCCTGCTGATACCCTTTCCAATCCTTGGTGGTCACTTTTTGAGATTTAAATACTTATGTTTTCTTTTATCGATTGTTTATATTTATTATATGTTTGTTGTGTGTTGGAAAAAGTTTCGTAACGATTTTAAGCAAAGTATTATACGTATACATATTAAAATAGATGAATTTTATGTTATTAGACCGCAATTTTCAAATTTTAGACTTATACATTCTCACTATTGTCAGTCTATCTGTCTGTCCTTCGTTAATCTTCAATACGGAGTTATATAGGTGACTGGCATGCTTCGATTGTTATCAGGAGAAGTATGATGTACAGGGGCGAGACAGAATATGGGTCGGAGACCCTGATCTAAATACAAAATTCCGGTCTGGACGGGAATTTCACATGATTTTTTAGATTAAAATATGATTAAAAACTGCAGGTTGGCGTTGAAAAAACGCCACAATAAATAATTGCTGGTTTAAAAATAATCTTTGATACAGATACCGATACATTTGAGTTCATTAGAATGTTGGAAGAGTTAAGTTTTATGTACGAAAATAATAATTAATCAAAATTTATTTTAACAATTGATTAATTAAATATTACTAAATGTTTATTAGAAATGTTAATAAGTATATTTTATAATCTGTTTTTTTATTTAATCTCATTAAATTAGT